AAAAGTGCACACACTTGGTATAATGATCTGTATAGAAGACACTTTGTGGTGGATGATGTAATTCCGAGACGATCACGAATCGTTTCTTATCGAACTGCAACGTTTGCGTATCTTGCCACAAATGTTCGGCAACTTCATGTCGCACTCCTCTGTAAGATACTGCTCTCAGTCACGAACGATTCCGTTTTGCACAGTACACATTAACCACTTTCATTATTCATCTCTTCACACAAAGCAAACCTCAGATACACAGAGCTGTTTGAAATATGTACGAAAATTCCCAATTGATTCAACAAGAAAATGAATCGAAAACAAGAAAAAAAGAAACAAACGAAAAAACAACTCGAAAAGAAATCGTCTCACCTGTGCTCCTCGTACTGCAAAATACCCCGCGGTAAGATGCCAATCCATTGCGGAAAACCCGTTTGTGGATCACCGAGTGGAGTGTTGCCGAGATTCGACGACGGCTTCATCTTGTACACTCGATGGAAATGACCGCCGTAGTCTGATAACCTTTGGCAACGCTAAAGTAACATTGAAAAAATATGCAATCAACTACATAACGATTGCATAGGTGCATCTGTAGGCAGAAAGAGGCACACATGATACAAAGGTACTCTGAGTTGGTCGGATGATCAGCAATGAATGATCCCTTGTAATGATACTTTTTACAAAATGAATGAATGAATCGAAATGAATCGAAAACGAAAAAAAAGTTAGAGTTCATTGGTTTCACTTTGAAACGAATCATTTGCAATCAAGACCACATCAGATATTCAACAACTCAGATTTTGCACATTCCGCTCTTTTCGGTTTTGATAAAACCGAACAAAGATGGATGGAAGTTGTTTAATGAAACACTCCTTAAAATACTCAATTGAGTGATTGTTTTCAGATTGTTGTTGAAATGCCAAAATTGATTCTCAGCTTCGAAAATACACATTGAAAAAGTCAATTTTTAGTACCATTATGAATTGTGCTTCAGCTTCACGACTATTCAAACCACCGTAATGACTATGGAGTTCGCATAGAACTTTTATTAAACGACGTTCATCGTTCAGATCGATCGCTCGCTGAAAACGCTTCACTGCTGAATTCAATCATCAACTGTTTAACAGATCAACTCTCTTATCACATTCTATATCACCTCATATCCGATATCCTATCTTATTCTTTCAGCAACATGAATGAAAATTCCATTTCTCGACAAAAAATTTCATATAGATAAGTTCGAGTTCGAAACTTAGCAAAAATGATGAGAAAAAATGAAGATGCCTCGGGTAAATAGTGTTCCAACTGGAAGTAATCAAGAAGTGCCGGATTGCTCGGTCGATCCGAGTATTCGGCTTGGAGAGCGAGTGCGGCCAACTCGTAGAGTGCATCATTGGGCGGCTGTAATCGGTCATCCAAAACGTCATGCCTCAGTTGCAAATACAACTCGTGCAATACCACATCTGTTCTGGAATATCGCAATAAACAACATGTGAACAACAACATCATGTTCACATTACATTATGCTGCTGCAACAAATTGCTTATTTCATCCAAATTCAACACAGTAAAAAATGACGAGGAGAAACACAAAAATGAATAAATCAAAGAAATAAAATTTTGGCCAAATTTAAATAAAACGAACCACAACACAATAATAATAAAATATCGCAAGAACATACTTGATAAAATTGGTGGTGGCAGGATAGTATCGAAACCTTAAATACAGATTGTACGGCCGCCTGATCGCAACCCCATGATGATACGCGTTTTTCCAACCCGACGGAGCAAACTTCTCCAATCGCTGATTCTCTTCCAAGAAGAAGTGCTCACCATCTGAAAATATTCTTACATTCAAAAAAAAAGTCTCTCAACTTTGAATTTCTAACAGTCAGTTAACGCTGACCACCACATGAAGTTCTTGTTGTTGATTTTCACTTCAACCACAAGAAAACTGTATGATTTAACATCAAAGTTTTCTCATTAAGAATGTTGTTACGGTGTTTTGAAACGACACGCGACAAGGCATATTTGCGGTTTTCTTGATCATTTCCTCTAGAGAAAACTCCTCCCAAATGATCCTCCCTGCCTCTTTCTTTCGTTACATTAACAGTTTGTAATCAACACTGTCCGCATACACTCACTGACTGATGCCATCTAAAGCTGTATTCATGCAACTAGAAGCACGATTGCTCTGAATAAAAAGATAGAATAGTTGAGATGAACCTCTTAAAGTTGTGAGACCAAAGAATGAATTTTCGTTGAAATTGATATGCCTCATCACCACATCGGCCACTTCTGAAGCAATCGCATCCGAACGACAACTCACTTCGATATTTTTTCCGTTCAGTAATTCCACTTTTACACCGGTTTGTTCCACTCGATGCAAAGACATTTTCTTCTGAAAATTATCCGCTTTTCGTGCTTTCAAAACGTGACATAAAGCGACAGCTTTCGAGGAACTACAAGATTCACCTTGCGCATTGCTGGAGCTTTCAAGCATATCGATGGAGCATTCTCGTTCATCACGAACTCTGGCTCTGCACGTCCCTTAAACGAAGAGGCGGTCAAGTCTTTTCGATGTAATTTTTAGCATCATAACTCATTGTATGCATGAAAAGATAATCAAAACTTTCAAATGTGAAAATAAATCAGCTGAACTGATTCAAAATTGAACTGATCGTATCACTGGAAAATCTTTCTACGTATAAATTAAAAATGATGATAAATTGCTGGCAAAACAATTCAAGCTTTCTTTTCTGAACCTTTTGACGTTTATTAGCATTCCTCAACGAATGTTTTCGACCGCTTATTCGGCCTGGTCCTAATGAATTGCGCCTCGAGAAGTGTTGAACTGAAATGTTAGAAGTTGACAGAAATACGATGAAATCAAAAACAGTTTCTATACAGAGTACTATTTAGGACTAAATTTATACATAATAGAAGGACGAAAAGTCAGCACAAAGCGTTAACATTCGAGAGAGAAAGGATAGCAAAAAAATGGAAGAAGTTAATCGCACGTCAGTGACCCATAAAACATTGCATCATTATTTCACTCAAAATTTCTCCACCTTCCAACAATGAACTTAACTTATTGCTTTTTTATGTTTTTAAACTGCTGATTACGCGACCAGCTAAGGGCTAAGAAGAGTTATGAGTATGATGAAGAAAAAGCAAAAATTCATCGAGTCGAAAAGTTAAACTGCAGTACTGCTGATGAAGAAATGAGATTAGATCAAGTGATTCTCTGAACAGTCAACTAATTCTAATTGAAAACTACAAAAGCGTTAATTTTACTTGCATAATCAGAACACAATCATGACCAGCAATCCTAATTCCTCAACAATCCGTTCAATTACTATACAAAATAAAAGAAGGTAGAAGTTATAAATTTATTTGCGGGAGCTCTCAGTTCTCTCTAGGCCACAAAAAAAGCAATAATCAAGATTTGATCAGCAACGCAGAGATTTTAGTGAAGACGAAAGAATGTTTCTTATGCGGTGATGAAAGGAAACGTGGAGTTTATGCGCAATACTGATATTATGCAGAAATGCAACGAATAGCATGAATATACGATATGAGAACAAGACAATTAGGCCGTCTAAATGGATAATTANACGAATATTGTCAACACAAATCGAGTTTAACATTACAAAGTTTATGCGTTTCTGCCAATAAATACTCTTATCCATTCTTCTTTTGCTCACTTCCAATCGATATTCTCACTAATCCTTTCAGCAGATTGCAAAAAAAAACACAGCATTGTGTACCATGGAAAGAAAGTGCATAAAAAAGTTATTGCAGAATGTTCAAAATGAATTCAGTTGAGATGTTTCATATGTGCACAAATTCGAGACCGTGAAACGAACCCGGTTCATCGCGTTCATCTGATTTGATCGGTTTCGGTGGTTTAATCGGCTCAGCTGGTTCAAATTTAGTGGTACTTACATCACTTTCCCTTCGCAACACTTCACCGATGGCCGCTGCTGACGATGGTTCAGCATTACCCACAAAATCAGGTTTTGGCTGCAATAATTGATAACCGTTATCGTTTCCTGGCATTTATAAGTGTGACCATCCAAATTTGATTAGCTGAGCAAATATAACACTGACAAACCATATTCAGTTAAAGTTATGCCTGTATTCATCTCAAGTTTTCGNGAATGTCCTCCTCACTCGAAGCCCATAGCTTAATGTCCTCCTAACGAGATTCAAATTTAATCAAGAAGACTGATGATCTCTATGTGCTATCGTTAACATATCTTTGACTCGAATCGCATGCTATGGATCAAGATGATTACGATGTAACGGCACAAAGTGTTAGGAGAAGTGACAATATTCAGCTATGTCACGTAACTCTTACATGTTACTGATTCTTAAACAACACTGAAAGAATAAAGCATTTCAACATTAATGTCAGCTAAAATCGCCAAATATAAATTCATATCGATAGCTGATCGACGTTCCCAGACTCGGGTTCTGGAGTCCCCAAAGCCCCCAAACATCCATGAGGTTTCCGGATTTTTCTCCAAATTTATACACATACATTTCTAAACAGCCATTCAGTACAATCAAAAAGATGCATACCCTTTCCAAAACAACCGCATCCACATGACCTTGTGGTGTGTCTTGTTCATCATCAGCATGCTCTTTCTCCGTCACCCTCTCATCCGCTTTCCTCCTTTGGCTGCTAACTCCAACACCGCCACGTTTTTCAGCAACTGCTGTGGTCGGTAATTCTTCGTCCTTTAAGCTCGTTTGTTTATAAAATTTAGCGACAGCCCACTGCTACCAGCCGTTAAGCACTCGATTCATTCACTCCGTAATGTAAACAATTTGTTTATTCAGCTGTTTCCTTTATCACACCACATTTTCTGCACACATATTTGTCAGTCATCTTTCACATCGATGTTCTATCTATCGCAAACAACTATCAATTCAGCGTGATATCTCCTCAAATTTTCTACTCATCTGCCACCATCGCTGTTATCCTATCACATCAACGTTATCCCATAAATACACTTAGAAAGACAATTTGAAGACAGAAGAAATGGAAACAGTCTCTTCGAGATTGTAAGAAGAATTTCTGAACAAATTTGCTCAAGTGAACACCATCCGACTAAATTGCTGAATTACGATGATTGATGCAACTACCTCAGGTATCACTTGTGAAACCACTTTATTTGTGTCATTCGTTGGGATGAAACGAGGCGGGGACATATCGATCGTCGACGGTGACACTTTCTCGGGAGTCGACAACGTTGAGGAAGTCGTTTCAGTTACGGCTGCAGATTCACTCAGCTAAAAATTCGAATATATTCCTTGTGAAAACGCAAATATTGTCAGGATGTAATGTATCATGAAAGCAAAACGAAACGTTCAGAAAAACACACTGAGTTGACACAATATGATCACAAATACCTCACAGTTCCCAGATAATCATTTTCTGTGTTCTGAATATCAACCGTGACAAATGAAAGCATGAGAAATGTAGTGATGAAATACGACAATACAAATGTTAACCCTTTTGGAATGAAACGAGATATAACACGAGAAATACAACAACGAAATGTCAACCCTTTCATGAAGTTTATCTCAATTCAAATATTGCTTGCTAGCTGACAGAATTGACCACATAAGCTTATTTATATTTAGTCTACTCGAATCGAGTAACAATGTCCCTGAACAAGTAGATTTTGAAAAGTGCGAACTAAGGTTGGCATGAGCAACACGTGAGCGAGGGACATGGGAAGCAGAAGTGATTATTCTGGTCCTAGCGGGGACGAACAGGGAAGCATTTGTTCCCGTAACTTTCTTCTAAAGCTAACCATTGTAAAAACAATCTGCATGAAAGAATTTGCTCTTTCAACGAATGCAACCAACCTCCAAACACACAATCTAACAACAAGATGTTGGTCAACAGACAAAACGAAAGTTTCGAACCTTATCCAGATTTTCATTTGCCTCTGAAATCGGTGAGAGAGACGCCGGTGATTCAAGGATTTCTTCAACGGTCGGCGGAACGCGAATCGTGCTCGAGAAAGGCGTCAAATGATGGTCGTACGACTCAAATATTGTGGTCGGTTCATTCTTCTTAACAAAAATTTTCTGTTGATTTCAAGCAATATTCAAATGACATTCAATCTATCAGTTTAAACAAATCATATGCATGAGTTCGTACTTTTGACACAACTCATCTCACTCTCATTCTGCTTTTCAGTAGTTCTTTTTTTTCGGTCATATGAGATAAATTCAGCGATAAAACAGACCAAACCATTCACAAAACATTGATCAAATGAGTGAAACAGCGATATGAATACACATTCGAGTATGCCTAATCATTTCTAATTGAACAAAGGTATTTTTGATTCGTTAGTACCGCACATTCCTGAGAATCATATCGATAGCAATCGTGAACCAGTCTACTGCCACAACAACGGCCTGTTTAGTGTATCTATCTCACAGTCAGAGTGACAGGGCTAAATCGACGATCACGCATGTTTCAACTCTTCAATGAATCAATAAGTGGTGGTTTCGATAGAAGTATTAATTAGCACTCACTTTTTTGCTAATGAAATGATTAATTTCCGAGGTATATGCGAGAGGTTTTTGATTTGCTTCATCAAGCGAATCACTTTCCTTATACTCCACAATATCGTCGTCGTAATCGTATTCGTGTCGATTGCCTGGTTCAGGCCAACTCAACGGTTTTTTCTTCTCAATATTTTCCATTTTATTCGGAACTACTTGTTCATCCGTTTTTGGTTGATTTACATGTGGTTCCTCGTCGAAGTCTTCAATTACGGTTGTACCCATCAACATATCACTCGCATCCAACAACAGTTTTCGTTGCTTCTCCTTTTTACGTTCATCGAGCTGAAATTTCGGATTCGTTTCCGATAACGCACTACAAAACGTCACTAAGAACCAA